CGCAAGACCCAATCCAATCCCTCTTCAAAAAAGAAAGTTACAAGCGCTCTGCCTTCTCCGCGGGTCCAAACTGCCGGCTTGGCGTGGAGCCAGGAGTGGGGCGCAGAGACTTGACGTCCTTGGGCATTCGGGGCGACATGAAGTTGTCACTTCGCCAGTGGTTCTGACGATTTGCTCGCAATGTCATGTGCCCAGGTTACCAGGATGGCGCATCTATGAATGTGGAGCTGCAGGCAAGGGGCCTTGTTTTTGTCTTTGCCCACGCGTGGCTCAGGCGGCTTGCTCTCAACTTTGTCAGCCTCAGGAAAATAACGAAACCTCCTCTTTCCCAGATGCTGGTACCTTTTTTTACCATTACCCACAAGCAGGACTATGCTTGTCTGGCGGCTGCATTGGCTGAAGGAGAACTGCCAGAAGATTGCGTGGGGCTAGCCTTCTGGTCCTGGCGGCTTGCAAAGGTTTCTGAGTCTTCCCTAGCAAGCCTGAAGCCTCAAGCCATCATGACTTTCCCTGTAACTTTCGCGCGAAGCATCCCAAGCTGCTGTAGTACTATCTTTTATAATATACTATATTCTGTATGATAGTACATTATACTATATTCTATGCCAGGCCCTGGATTGCAAAATCTTCTGACTGGCAGTGAGCGGCCTCGGACTGGGAGGCCTCCGCGCTGGCCGCTGGCGCAGGAGCTGATTTTGCGGCCCTGGCCACAGGCAAAGAGGAGGTGCTCTCAGCGATGCAGCCCTGCTGAATATGGGCTTTTCAAGGGTGCTGCTGCTGCCAAACCTTCTGTAGTCAGCAACTCTTCCGTAAAGCGGCCAACAGCTTTCCGCGTTCATAGCCGTGGACTTCCTGCCTGGAAGGGGTCGGTACGCTCTCATTCGCATGCAAGCAGGATGCTTGTGGACAGGGGAAGTCCTCAGCTGCCCACTGGGAAGAAAGTAGATAGATGTAGATAGTAATTAGACTTAGACGCTCAGCTGTCCATCTGATGAGCAAGGCTGCATTGTATCAGCAGCGACCATCCCATTTCCTACAGCGCAAGCACGGTCCTGTGGCCTTATTTGAGGCAAGCTTCCAACATCCGTTGTAGTCTGAATTCCGGGCACGCAGCCGCATCGCAAATGGTCAGAGGAACGAGGCCGATCCTGTCTTGCTCTCTTAGCCGCAAGCTGGCAGTCTGGTAATCACAAGCTGGAGAATGTGTCCATGATTGGCAACTGCAGTCTAATTGTCACAGCACTGAGGGGCTATGTCGCAAAGCTTGTGTTGTACGAGCCACAGACATGTCTAAAATAGGCTCTGCATCCATCCAGCTTTGCCTCCCCAATGTATTATGGTAGTTTCCATTTTCTTTTCCATTATCCCTGTGTACAACCCCAATACATACCTAAACCTTATGAACGCATCAAATTTCGGGCTCAACACCCATCCTATATACAGTAATTCCCATTTTCTTTTCCAGTTCCCAATAAAGCCCAAATATTTACCTAAAACCCTACGTAAACCCTATCAACACCCATCCTGGCCACTGCTTCACGCGCAAAGCGTTGGTTGCTGGTTTCGTGGACCTGGACATCCTCTGGCAAAGTCCTTGGGAGAGCTTTCCAACAAGAGAAGCCCCACCGGTCTGAAGCCTGCATACCGTGTCTAGGCGTTTAGGGTTTAGGATTTAGGGACCTTGAAACTTCCTGGTGCTTAGTAGGGAATAAGGGAATGCAACCCCTGTAGAATTCTACATTCGCCTTATTCCCCCAGTATGTACCATAGTATCATGATGTAGTAGCTAGCATCTTTCTTTGCCCTTATCCCTATAGCCCCACTGTCTTTTCATATTCCTTACTAATCCCAATATACCTTATGTAATGTAGTCGTTTCCATGCTCTTTTCCATTATCCCTATATCATCCCTATATTGCCCCGAAATAATAACTATTCCCCCAAAAGTCAAAGGATTAGCTTGACCACCTTGACCCCAACCTGGCCGAGGAACTGCACAGACGCATGTGCTCGACCGTGCGGGGCTGTGGTGTCCTCGCGCTCTCTGAGGAAAGCTTTGGCGTTCGGCTCATGCGGGAAAACCTGGCGCATTTGTGGTATGTTTCGTAAGCAGTGGGCTCCAGACTCAACACCACCTTTTGACATAAATCCCTAAACTCTAAACACCAAACCCGTAAATCCTAAACCCTTAACCCTTGACCTTGTGATTCTGCTGAGCCACAGCATCCAGCAGAGGTGCGGGCGCTTGCAAGGCTTTTGCAGCTTCAGCGGCGGTTGGCCGGGAGGCACTGTCCGAGGGAGATCCTCCTGGCTCCTGGCCACCCGAGCGCCTTTTGAAGCTCTCTATAATGTAAATGGAAACTACTATAGTATAATGGGGTAGTCTTGGGATAATGGAAAAGAAAATGGAAACTACCATAGTATAATAGGGTATATATTGTGTTAAATGTAAGGATAATGGAAAAGAAAATGGAAACTACTATTTAGGGTGTAGGGTTTAGGGTAAAGGGATTTTAGGGTATATATTGTGGTTACATAGGGATAATGGACAAGAAAATGGAAACTACTATAATATCGGGCTTGGGTTCAAGCTGGTCCTTTGACTTTTTGGGGATTAATAATTTAGGGGCAATATAGGGATGATATAGGGAGAATGGAAAAGAACATGGGAACTGCCACATTATAGTAGGGTAATTATTGGATTAGTAGGGAATATGCGGACGTATGTCCGTGAATCTTCCTGACACTCCTGTCTATTGCAGGCCAAGCCTTTGTCACGGACTTGTTGTTTCGAACTTGGTCTTGGGGAGTGCTACTCTGGGTCTTCTCTAAATGGGTGTCAACCCGTGGGATTCATGGCAACAATCAAAGCAATACTAATGGTAGGGAATAGAAGGAATAAGCAGAATAATAGTAGGAATAATCTTAACATTAATAGTAACAATAACAGTGGTCTGAGACCCCTAAACCCTAAACCCTAGGGAAGGGAAGCAACTTTTTCCTCCACAGGATCCAGGCGCCAGCCAGCAACCGACGACGGGTCATAGCCTGTTCAGGGCCAGGCTTCAGGCTGTCTGCAAATCAAACTCCAAGCATGTTAGGATAATATAGGATAATATAGGGTTATATAGGATAATATAGGATAATATCGGGTAATATAGGGTAATATATTTAAGGGGATGCGCCCAGGGGCGGGCAACGCAGGCAGCATATTTTCTTGGGTCCGGGACAATGGCAAAGTACTATGTGACAGGTTTTAGGTTTAGGGTTTAGGAAATGTGGGTTTGGGGTTTGGGTCTAGGATTAACTTTATGGACAACACCTCTATTCTTCCTCATATTCCTCATAATGCTAGAGGCTAGCAACCTTACCAAGAACTTTATACACCTTTGCAGCGCACAC